AACTTGCAGACACACTCACGGCCGGTTTCTGAATTGAGTACAAAATCTCAATTGATTATTCTCAATAATTTAAGTTTTTACGTTTCATTTGGCAAAAAGTCTTAGTTTTATCAAGCTGCTATCAACTGATCATTAAAAAATTATAAATCAGTATAATTATAATGAAAACCTGTTTAATTAACGTTTAAAATGGCTTAAACATTCTCAATTCAGAAACCGGGTCTTACTGTTTGATATCGTCTTAGTACTGACATGACTTACCTACCCTTTTTTATTGTAATATCATTGCCTATACCTATTATTTTTCTACGGTCTTAAACTACTCAAATACCAATTTTAATCAATGTAGGTGCAAAAACAAAGAAGTTTCATACAAATGTTTTCATCCTTTTTAACCCCCTTTGGGATGGAATTGATTTTAATAATTATTTTATCTACAGGAAGCTACTTCAGTAGTACCTACATAGATGTGTAATGAGGAAGTAGTAAAAAAAAGTTCCCAAAATCAAACTAGATGTCGCTACAGTACTTTCTTGATTTCTCAATGACTACCCTTCCAGATTTCTTTCATGTATAAAAGTGAATTAATTTTCAAAACTCGATAAACGACTCATATTTAATTTGTAGTTTTTCTTATTAATATTGATATCTTAGTTTCAAACTTTGCTAATTTCATTTTTTTTAATATGTTAGTTGAAAGGAATGGAAGTGACTATCTTTGATCCATTCATTTCCTGCAATAATAAACTTTTGCTAGACCTTTTGCTTTCTTTTTTAATTTCTCATTAGATATTATTATCAAAATGTCTAATTCCACCATATTATGCAGCTACCTCTTGGAACAAGCAGATTAGACTTTTATGCATAAGGACAAAATAAAAAGAAAGTCCTGCAACGGGTAAGACACATAAGCCATTGGGTTTGACCTGTTGTTTGGTCACCCATCCAAAGACTGACCTCTGTGAAAGTAGCTTTTCTTCCGCAATAACCATAAGACATCGAGCTTCCCAATATCAAATATTTAATTTGGTTCCACTTAGTACCTACTTAAATTACGTGTTCTTTTTATCTAAGTAATGATCTATACCTATACCTAAGAAGATAACACTAACACAATTGTTGCAAAATGACCTATCCTTCCAAAGAACGAGGCCACCATTTTTTTTCCCGCACTTCGATCTCTCTTCACTTTAGTTGGCAACTCCTCGAAAGGAAACACCCACTGAGCAGATTGTCTTTTGGTTTTAGGATCATAACAGTAAATCCAGCTTTCGTCACCTGTTAGTATGTCGAACACAGCATTTGAGTCACCTCCGTTAAATCTTTCAATCATTTTACGACACCAATCCACACGATGGAGTTTTTGAGCCTCAGTCAAATTATGAGGTATCCACCGGGCGCAAAGCTTCCTGACCGCTAAATGTTCGTGGAGGATTTTGTGCACTTGACTCATACCGATGCCTAAGCTTGTCCGAATCTGTTGATAGGTCACTCTTTTGTCAGTCTCTATCATACGCCGCACAACACAGATGTTATCTTCAGTCGTCGCCGTAGAAGGCCGTCCCTCACGTAAATCATCAGTGAGATTAGTGCGACCACGTTTAAACTCATATAACAAATAAAATATATAAAGTCATTAAAAATCGTTTATTTTTTCCATGAATCCCTAAACGACGTTCTATTTTCATTGATAAAAATAACACAATTGCGTAGGTACTATGTATTTCCTTGACGAAGATGTGATAGTGTTGTTTATAATTTGCAAGCAGAGCGCCACCATCGCGGCCGGTTGTTTACGGGCGTAAGCGGGATGGGGAGAAGGCGGGGGAGGGGGCAGGGCGGCGGGAGGCCTGGCACCTCGCCATCGGATCGCGGTCATACACCAAAACATACAGATTTCTCGGGAAAAAATAACGAGCACTTGCAGAGCACGCCGAGGCGTCGCATCTGATGTGCGTAACGCCACCGCGGCCAATCGTATATTTTAAATTTGAACGAAACATTAATAAAAGGGTAAGACGAGTGAGAGTATTGGTAGCGCTTTGAATGCTGTGAATTGTCCTCGCAGAGCGAAGGCGAGGGCGAAGGCTACGTCCTACGTAAGGTGACCGTAGCCTCGTGTGGCCCCGGTCACTAAATCCAATCACCGCGTAAACCCTATGTCACGGCCGGTGAAGCGAAGCGGACGATCACATCGCCCTGCTATTTAGGTGAGTTGTTTTTATGGTTCCGTAGTTGAGGTGTCTACGAAACCTTAAAAAGAAAGAAATGATTTTTTATAGTTTCATCTCATGGGTCTTCTGTCTAACAAGAACTGTTTTTGAAACAAATCGAAATATTCAGCAACGGGTAAGGCAACCTGTCTAGTGAAATGCTCTAATTAAAAGATATCTAAGCTTTTTATCAACAGCACAATAGATGCTTTATAGTTTTAGAACAATAAAAATGTTTAACGCGCATGGGGCCCTCGGTGTGCAAGTCAGTCTCACATTCAGCCGGCTATATTCAATTTTTCATTACAAAATGTGCGCTGTCAGCGACAGCTCGACAATCATGTTTACTTGTATTATTGATTGTAATCGGTACCAGTGATCACCTAGATCACTATATTAAAAAACCTGATTTTATTTTTTGTTAACTCTTCGACCTAACGTAATTATTTTTTGGTTTAGTTTTCTTTGTTGCTTGCCCGGTTCATAAGCCTTTTATGCGATTGTGCTAATTTGGGACTTGCAATCGATGAGTTCGAATTTTTGTGTCACCCATGAATACTGCCATGCGAATATAATTTGATATTTTCAAGAAGTCTCGATATTTTCTTATTTAAATGTTATGATATTTTCTTGTTTTTCGCATTAGAAAAATAAAATAAAATTCGATTTAGTATTGTGCGTAGTGCGTAGTTTTACAAATGTTTCGTACCTATAATAAGAATAAGCACAGTGTAGTCTAATTACTTAAATTAGTTTATTTTGATACAGACTTAACTATTTCTGATAGGGATAAAATGGCTTACTCTAGGCTATGTATGAGCTATTTTGTCACAAAGGAAATATTTCATAATTATTCTTTCTTTTTCAAGGGCGGATCCAGATTTGGCGTCGCGGGGAGGGACACAGTCGTGGTCAAGTCATGAGAAATTAATTTTGATAATATTAAATACTTACAAAAATAATAAATTAAATTTTGGGAGTTGTTAAATAATATCTATTGTATAATGAGACAAAACATATAAAAAACATTTATATATAACAGATTTAATTTGTAGTTCACCTATGTTCTGGATCCAACCCAAGGGGGTCAAGACCCTCATAACCACGCCCATCCTTGTTCTATTTACACATAGGCATCAAATTAAATATCATTTATTCGGTCTAGGATGTTACAACCACTTGTGAATGTCTAAAGCTACGTCATCGCTTCACTTCTAAATCTATGACGGGCGACCTTGTACTGAGAAGAACCGACAAGGAACTCGGCAAGGGCTGCTTTTTTGTGCAGCATAGGCCGCCACTATACTGTCTGTCACTATATTGGCGGTGGTTACACGTATTGTTATGGTTATTGTAAAAGTGTTGCCTCGGCTAGAAAGTGTCTCACATATTTATCTATTTTACGAGATGAAATTGAAAAAAATGTGAATTTTACGGGGAGGTAGATACCTCCCAAAATTTCGACAAACAAAGAAATTACTAAGATTAGTAATTTCTTTGTTTGTCGAAATTTTATAAATTCATTCTTTGGTTGTTTACAAAACTTAGAAATATGATATAAGTTTTCTCACTGGACGGCAATCCAGTGCAGTTGGCCTATCCGTTGGCAAGGAATGTCCATGACTTCTCTATGTAAAATTAATGTGGAGGAAAAAAGCAGCCCTTGCTGAGTTTCTTGCCAGATCTTCTCAATACAATATTTCCCGCCATAAATTAGCGAACCGATGGCATAGCATACTTTCAAAAGTGCTCGTAACTAAATGCATAATATTGATTTTTTTTGCCATTGGACAGGAGCATCATTTTATTGCCTTTTCCTGTTTCTAGAAACGTAGTATAAACGTAGTAGATCTAGATCTACTTAGTGCTGATTAGTGCTTCTGGGTGTATTTGCAGTAGTTAACACACATTATATAGGGGTTTATCTTCGAAGAAATCAATTAGCTTAAATCATGACATCATAAAAGCTACCTTCTAAATACGCTGTTTGTTTCATGAATATGAATTATCCAGACATGTGCATACACAACTTATGTATCTATATGCCTACGTTCACATTTCATGTTTATTTTGTCAGCCTGTTTTGTTTCTCGTATTGAAAATAATGTTTAGATTCCAATCTTTAAATTTTTGATGTTCTTAATGTTATTTTCTTAACGTCATGGGCATAAGAAAGAGGTGGAAAAATTAAATAATCTTTTACACAAAAACATCTATTTGAATATTGCTTTTTCTTATTTCAATCAGTTTTATCGAAAGTTTAAATGTTTGTAAAAATATTTGTTTCGGCTGTTTGGGTAGATTGCCTGAACATTGATGAAATTACGCTCTGTAGTAGCGAAAAGTAACAAGTGTTTGAAACATTCGACATTCCTGTTAGGTCCTTGGTAGCTCAGTGGTTAGAGCAGTCGCCCAGATTGCCAAAGGTCATGGGTTCGAGTCCCGTTTCAGAGTGCCATGGACATATTGGAATATTTTCAGTATAGCATTGTGAATTCAAATTGATCAAATGTAATAATAATAAATGTAATTATGAAATATTATTTTTATTATTTAATTAGTAAGTACGTGCACCATCTATTTAACCTTACTTTTGAGTAAATAAATTTATTTAGAAAGTGTACAATAGAATTGGCACCAATGGTCGTGTAACAGACAGTAACTTTTGTCTTAATTTTGAGGAGCTTTTATTTGTCAGCAGCGAATTTACATATACTTACTTCTTTAGCGATAGTGAATTAACTTTGAATGTATGGGACTTCTGAAACATGCTGAAATTACGCAGACCCAGAATTAGAGTGTTATATTGTATTGTAGGGTGCGTCGTTGTCAGAAGCGGGCGGCGTGTAGCGGGAGCGTTCGATGGAGACGGTGTATCCTTGTGCGGCGTCAGCGCTGACGCGCGGCCGACGAGCGCGCCGCCCTAGACCGCGCTCACGGCATCGCACCGTTCCAGTCACATTCGCAGAGATTAAGGTACCTCCACGCATGTCAAATGTTGGTAATCAATTTCAACGTATCGTATGAGTAGATGTGTTCCCGAAACAACGCCCGAGTATATAATTCACTTATAGCACCCGCTTGTAGCTTCACGTAGGTGAAATGAAGAAATTTCATATTTGGATCACTTTTACAAAAAGTCAAAAATTTCCTTTTATAATAGTACTATAGATATTTTCAATCTTAAAATACTATATCTATAATCTCTTTCCATCAACAAAATCAATAAATTTCTAAATTATTTATTTTATTAATGAACTATATTAATATAATAAATATACTAAATTGTGGAATGCAATAAATAAATAAAATGGCAAATTTCTTTAAACCACACCCAGACTCTTTGGATAGACACATTTATGAGAATACCGGTCGATCGGAATACATAGATTCCTGGACGTGTCTTCAGGAGGTGGACGAAGAAAGTGAGGAAGCATGCATGGTGGCGCCGACGCCGGATCGGGAGCGACGGCGGCCCGACGTACTGGACGACCAGTTGGTGCGCTTCGCGGAGTTCAGGCGCAGGCGCGCTAGACGGGAGCGAGACGTGTTACGTGAGCGAACTGAGGAACCTGCTCCTGGTACCGTTCAACGTGATGACGATGCGACTACCAACGCAGCTGCTTTCAGTAGTGCCACACCTCGTGCGGGGAGCGAACCCGCCGTTCTAAGTCTCGTAGACACTTGACGCTGCCCCGTCTGACACCGGGATTAAGTATCACGCGGGTCATTTTGAACTCGTCAATTATACGGATGTTATGAACTATTGATAGGTACTTAAATTAGCTGTTGAAATTTATATTATTGGTATTTTCTCATAAATTTGTATTTTTATACGAATTTCATTAAGAATAATATACAAGCCTTTTACATAATAGGTATAATTCTTTAAATAATAAATTCATCTAAAATAACTATAAGTCCAAGGGATAATACTAGTTGGTTATACCTAATTATGATTCGTGTCAAAATATAATTTAATTAATTAATATACGTATAATGAAAAACTCTAGTATAATTGTCATTTTTTTATTTACGCATTATAGAATAAATTAAATAAATAGAACTCTCAAACACGCTTCATTCGGACACTTTAATAAATAGACATCGGTATATACAACTAACTCTTACGTTTTACTTAAAGCTACATTTATAAAATGTAATGATTAACAAACAATATAAATTATGTAATACGAGTAACAACACTACGGTCGGCGGGAGGTGCCGGCGGTGCGGCGGCGGCGTGCGACATCTCTTATAAAAAACACTTATATCTTACTTTAATATTACACGCTAACTCATGCGAGGGGACGAATTACGTGGCTTCAGTGATACCACAATCATTATTGTAATTTTTATTTAATTCTATACATTACATTTAATTTCATCGCATAAAGTATAATATTAACGCTTATGCTTATATATTTCTTAGAAAACAGACTACAATAATTATTAATATTATCATGTACCAAAATGTTTGTCAGATAGTAACTAATTTTGTTTGGCACTTTTCTCTAGTATACAATTGAGCATTTCGGTAAGAGTAAAGTAAAACAGTACAAATATGGTACGAGTCGATAAAGCCGCCGCCGCCCTTCGTAATATCACTGTTTAAGGCTACTTCTTTATAAAATCTACTAGTGGACGCCCGCGACTTCGTCCGCGTGGAAGTCGGTATCCCGTGGGAGTGAGAAGTTTTCCCAGTAAAAAGTACCCTATGTGTTATTCTGATGTATAACCTATATTGCTGTAAAGTTTTATCCAAATCCGTCCAGTAGTTTTTTCGTGAAAGAGTAACAAACATCCATACATCCATACTTACAAACTTTCGCCTTTATAATATTAATAGGATTAGTCTGCAACTATCGACAGTTGTAGGTAAACGGATGGTACCTTTAATTCGTATGAATTAACATGACACCTGAGGGACTACTCTTATTTATTCTCGAATGAACATTCGGAAAATGATAAATTTAAAAAAAAATCGTAAAATCATATCCGTGAAGTTTTTATGTGCATCAGAGCATTCATAGCCATTGGCAGGTCCTACTTTCGTTGCATTAGGCGTTTCTTTGGAGTCCATTAAAAAAAATAAAGTATGTTCGTTTTCAGAGAAATTGGTGTTATGTTAATTCGTAAGAGTAGTAAGTAGGAGAGAGCGGCCCGCCCCCGCGCCATACTAATATCACCGGGCACACGTACACAGTACGATCTGCGCTTACGTTAAAAAATAATTTACTAGCGATAATAACCGCCTGACGTCGCTTAAATCTAACATACGGTAAATTTGTCTAAGTAAAATATTTATTCCACTCTCACTTTGTATTTTATTATCGACTTCTCCGTTAATTTAGTATAATTTAATACTATACGAAACGTTATTTATATATTATTTGTCAGTTTTTGCTACAGTACAGTAGAGTAAATTAAAGTTTTAATCCGTTAAAACGCCTACTTTCATGACACCCGCATGCGGAGAGCGGACGATCCTCGCTTTCATTGGTCGGTCATTGCCTTATTGACCAATGAGATGACAAAGCAGAGGTCGGCCGTACGTCTTTTGCTGACCCCATCGACCAGTGCAACTGAGGCATCAATTTCCCAAGGCAAAGCTGTTGTATACAACTATTCTCTGTATTAATAAACGGCTCTTCGAATTACACATAAAATTGATAATCATAAGAGGTGTTAAAAAGAGTAAAGTAGTGACTTGGTATGAACATTTCGACCACTTTATCTGTAGCACTTTATTTGTTGTGTTAGATCGCTATGATTCATCGGCGTTTTTAGGAAGGGGAACGAAGTCTAGTCATAGTTCGTATCAGCCGTATTATGGTATATGTATTGTAGTAGGTGTACCGCATCTGTGTTTTTTACCTGAATAGAAAAATATAAATCGAACGGCTATAGGTAACGGTTAAGAAAATTCAATACAAAGTTATAGGGTTTCATCATTGGCCACATTCTACTGTGGGTGATCCGGCAATGAGAAACGTCTAGCGGTAAGACCGGGTGCGACATTGGTCAGCATTGTGTACGGCGTGAGACTCATCGGGAGCCCTCGGTTTCCTCCTGGGGAGGATCGGGTTCTGTTGCTGACGGGATCGTGTGTAGGTGCCGTGGAGCCGGCAGCGAGGCACCACCGCCTGGCGACTGCGGTGGCTCATCCCCCACAATCGCCGGCTGACGTGTGAGCCGCGGCCGCACTCCCGCACCCGTCACCCCAGCCCCCGCCGGGCCTGTCGCACTGCCGCCCGAGCGCGACGTCCGCCATGTACCAGTCGATGCGGTCGCGTTTGAACCAGAAGAATCGTTCCGCGACGATGATAAATTCGAATCCTGTGATGTTTTACGCGTGACGAGCCATGAGGCGGCACGCCGGGGGGGTGGAGGCGGCCGACCGTATGCACGCCATGAGTCCGACCGCGAGGATGAGAACTCCACTGACGACGATACTGACCCGGCGCGCGCAGGTGGCGCCGTCACCGTGCGAGGAGCGGGAGCTGGCGCGGGTGTGGAGCGACGACCGCATGCTCGCAGCCAGCGTAGCAGACGTTCGCCTCCGGCAGGAAGGGGTGGGGGTGGCCCGGTAGGGGCGACGGTCGCGCGTGGTGGGGGTGGCACAGGCGTGGCGTCAGCGAGCAGACGCCTGCACGCGCATGCTGCACCGTGCTGTTGGCCACGCGAGGAGCGCTCATTGAGGCTATTAGTGTTGGCGGGTGTCTGCCGGTTGCTGAAGTTGGACGAGTGCCGGCAGCGGCCTATTCCACGTGTCACGCGTGACTCTTCGATCGCCTTGCACACGAGCGCGCAGTCCTTTTTGAACTGCTTCGTAAGGATCGCGTACAGGAACGGATTGCAGCATGAGTTGAGCGGCAACACGAATACGGTGAACACCTTCGCCTCCTCGAGCGACACGAGCTGCGCGCCAAATGCGGCGGTTAACGCGAAAAACGCAATCGGTGACCAGCACAGGAAGTCGGTGAAGACGAGCAGCGCCATGCGCTTTGCAATGCGCGAGTCGTTTGAGTTCCAAGCCTGCGAGCCACGGATAGCACAATACATCTTGAGGTAACAGCCGAGCAGCACCAGGAACGCGACGCCGTTAACCACGAGTAGCGCTACTACGTACCCGAGTGCAAGCGGCGAGCCGGTCTCGAATGGCAAACAGACGGCGAATTTCCGGTAGTCGGATACACCGAGCAGCGGCAGCGCGGCCGCAATCAGTGAGAACGCCCAGCCCGCCGCCATCACGGCAGCTGCGTGCCGTAGTGACAGCCGCTTATTGAGGTGCATTGCGTGCGTGATGGCGTAATTGCGCTCAAGCGTAATCACGGCGAGTGTGTACACGGACAGTTCGGAGGAGAGCACGCCCAGGAAACCCGCTAGCCTGCAGCCGCCGGACATCTGCCAGGATATCGCGTGCGCTCGGAACTCCCCCAATGTGCCCGCGTCGACGACCGCGAGGAAACCTGCCACGTGAATCTATATATAGACTTCGTCTCATATACAACATCGCGGATCTTGTGGAACATGCGAGAACTAGAGGCTGTACTTTGTGAGGTTACGTACCTAGATAGATGCCCATGAAGAAGTCTGCGGCGGCGAGGTTGGTGACGAGAAAGCGCGGCACGTCAATACGGCTGCGGCTGAACACGAGCACGAAGACAACGGTCCCGTTGCCGAGCAACGCTAGCAGAAACACTGCCCATACGCCGCACCGCAGAGTCCACCAGTCGAACAGGTCCACGCACGGCAAAAACGGCCCTGGGGTGTTGTTAGTTTTAAGACGATCGCTAAACTTTCATAATATAAATGCAACTCTATCTTTACACTCTTTACATCGGATATTCAGTTCATAGTTCGATTAGACATTCGTTTCATTGTAGACCATAGCCATAACTTAATAGTTTGTTACATTAAGAATGGTCAGTATGGGCAAGTCTGGAATTATAAGACATACAAAGATCTGTTATTAGAAACTATGCCCTTGATTTTAGCGTCAAGAACAATTGCATTCATAATTAAAGAAAAAGTAGTTATGGGTATGGGTAGTTATGGTAAGTAGTAATAGTTACTAGTTATGGGTTTTTAATGATTTAGTGTTATTAAATAACATGATATCTAAAATTAATAAAGTGAATTGCCTTTATACCTTTTAATTATTTTTTGTCACTAGGTGTTCGAAATGACAATAATTTTTTCAACACAACATCCAACTCGTTATGAGCGTCAAATTATCTCTATGATTGATTGTTTCATTTAATATTATTTCAGATTCTGACTTTCACATACCGACCGTTCTCAATGTTACATCCTGTAAATATCGAATTTCGAATACATAATTTCTATTGGAAATATAACGATCGGCTAATATAATCAGCAGTTTATTAATACGAGACATATAATATCGTGCCACGTACCTGGTAGAGGTAGGCAGTGCACGCGGCGTGGCGAGTCAGCGCGCGCCTCGGCTGCCACCCGCGCCTCGCTTACACTCGCGCCCCACGCTGAACCACTCGTAGCGTTTACTGATATTATCATAATTATAAAAATGAGTTCTTTAATTCGCAAACATTATCCAAGCTCTAAATCTCTTCTCAGGTAAGATAAACTATACAGTCGGACCGATACTTTACTCTAAAAGGCGAAAGGCCGAACAATTCTTTCTATCGACAACTGCTTCACCGTGCGGAGTAGTTAAAAGTGATAAATGTATAACGATCAACATATTGTTAAATAGATGTTTTCCTTTGAAATTAACTAACCCCCGGTTTCAATTATATACCGACAACCATCGGTAGCAGCTACCGACCGTTTTTTGAGCTACCGACAACCATTCGTTTTTGCGTTTCACAATCATCGGTAGGCGCCTAACAACTACGAATGGTTGTCGGTAGCTCATTTTTTTAAATTGTAATCATATAATTCGAGGAAAAGGGTTCTTTCCATACAGCCTTGTCTTAGGTAATATTATGATTATACTGAAATGTTGGTCTTTAACATTTAATAATTTCTTGGACAAAATCGAAAACGTAAGAAGGAAGACAGAGACATCAATAGGACAGAGGTGAACTGATTACGTACCGAAACTAAATTTAAAATTTGTTTTGGAATTATTATGAGTTATTTATTATATGGTTAGGTTCTTAAAAGTGGTGTTATTGTGAAACAAATTATCGTCTGAAATGGAATTCCGATGTAAACAAAAGAGTTACCATTACAACAAATAGCTTAAATTTATCTCTTTAAAAGTTTTTAGTAATTTTTTTACTTCAACTAAAAATCCTTTTTTAGATAAAAATAGGATAGAAATATTTTATTCTGCAGGCAAGAAACAGCGATTTGGAACATTTGGCTCATTGAATGAAACTTTTTTTTATTTAGTATGATTTATCGTAAAAATATTTATAAATAACACGTTTTCCCTTGTCAATTAAAAGAAAAGTAACAGTTTTTCATTAAAAAAATAATATTGTAGAAGAGCTTAATGTGTTTTGTAGTTCAGATTAGAAGATTTTAAGTTGTAATCATGTCAATGTTTGTACCTTAAAGGGCTCTTACTACCAATTAATTATTGGTCCAGATGCTTTTTACAATACGTTTCTTTTGAAAAACATAATGATTTACCTCTATATAATTATGAAAAACCTGGTTCTGATGAAACTGAATTTGCCACCTACTGTACAAGTATTTTATTCGATATTGATTTACAATTTAAAGTACTTAAAATTGAAAAAGTAATGAAATTCTTACAGGCTAATGTCAACAAATCTTACATTTTTATCCCCACATTGTTATACAAAATTAGTTACACTTGAATGAGAAACCTTCTCTTTCATTGAAGTCGAATAAAAATAAAACTATACATCTTATTTCCGTATTATTATATGCAAAAATAAAATTATAATTAGAACCTTTTGGAAAATGTTTGCAACCCCTAAAATAACATAATTTGTTTATATAAGTTTTTTTATCTCAAAATAAATTTCGGAATATAAATAAACGTGTGCAATACACAGTTCATTGAAATGGTACGGTGCATGGTTATGAGCAGTGTTTTGTCAATTTAGTAGGTACAAGAACGCGAACGTGTTACTTTAACATACCTCACCATTTTCTAATATATTTCAATTTTTGCTCCAAAAAAAGCATTTAAAACGTCCAAGTGACCCTCAATGTGAATATTGTCACTCTAGACTAGGTTGTATGTGCTATATCCCTTTGCCTTTAATTATGCCAAAAAGTAAAGTTGATTTATGTTCCGTAGAAGCTTGGCGGGAATTTTATATAGAGTTCACCTTTATTATAAATTGTTAATTGTATAAAGTGATTTGTATAATATATTACTATACATATTGAATTTGCAAGATAAAATTAATGAAATTGACAGTGAACAATTGTGATCCATTGACATAGAATGATAAATGAATGGTTATTAGAAAACAAACGTAGATAAATGCAATGGAATAATGTAAAAATTATGTAGTTTTTAATGAATTGTTTTTTATTTGTCAAATAAATAAGTTATATCCAAATTGGGTTTTATTAAGAATTAAATCAATATCAGTGTTTAATAAAAAATAAAGGGTATAAACTAATGTAACGTGTATAAGTTTGGTACAAGTAGGTGGCAAATTCAGTTTCATCAGAACAAGGTTTTTGATAATTATATAGAGGTAAATCATCAAGTTTATCAACAGAAACATATTGTAGAAAGCATCTGGAGCAATGATTAATTGGTAGTATGAGCCCTTAAAGGTACAAACATTGGCATGATAACAACTTAAATTCTTCTAATTGGAACCACAAAACACATCAAACTCTTCTACAATATTATTTTTTTAATGAAAAACTGTTATTTTTCTATTAGTTAACTAGGAAAAACGTGTCATTTTTAAATATTTTTACGATAACCGTCGGAAAATGGCCGGTAGGCAAATTTGACATAAAGCTACGGATAGTAAGTTTGACAGCTCTACCGAAAGATATTGAAACACTTGTTTGCGCCATTTTCATACATTTTGCCTACGAACGGTTATCAGTATCAGTTCAATCCGTTAGTAGCACACCGTCGGTAGCTTTACCTACCAATGGTATGTTATTGAAACACTTTTTTGCTACCATCGGTAGGAAATGCTACGGATGGTAGCAAAAACGGATAGTTTTTTGGTTATTGAAACCGGGGGTAAGTTGTCATTTATTTGTTGGTATTGTTGTCAAGTACAGGATGGCAGTAAGTGTATGTGTGTATAGTTACATAGATGTGGCCAGATGTCGGTGAGGTTGGCCCAGGCGGCGGGGTCAAGAGTGCGCGGCGGCAGCAGTACTAGATCGCTGAGCCCCTCCTCTTCGTCGGTCTCCTCGCTCGCCTCCATCAGCGGCATAAACTCGCAGCAGTGATACGCGTACGACAATACTAGCGTCTGCACGCACACACCAACCACATCATTCGATATATATTTTTATGAATCATCCTCATTAATGGCTTAGACGGAATCCTAGTGTGGATTTGTTGTGCGGAAAGTGAAGCCGGGGTCAACGGCTTAACGTAGTTTTCGAAGCAATTAGGAGCTTGTGATAATATTTTTTTGGACACCCATCCTTTGACCAGCCCTTGGGAGAGTTGCTTTACAGACCGACCACTAACTATTGTGCTATCGAGCTGCTCCTTTTTAAACAATTTTCAACTTTCGCAAATGGTTATTGCGGCGGAATTAATAAATGACATGGTTTACATTTGAGTAAATGCTGATAAGTTTCTTGGATCCGTTCTTTTTTTGTCAGCAAAAATGTTCAAAATTATTGGTAGGTAAAAATATTAGATTATACCTAGGACCTTTTAATAAGCTTATTTGAAAAAAGAATATTTAAATTTTGACAACTATTAATTGACATAGTACGCAGAATGCACTAAAAGTTTCCAGAATCAATAATATAAAATACCAATGGTCATGAATGAAAATATTGTTTCTCAAAATATTCTCGATCCTTTTGAGTCGATGCTATTTTCATATGAATGAATCTATTTTGAAAATTTTGTGCCACTTTTCCATGGTGACGTCAGATATATGTTTTTCATACTATTCAACAGCCTCTTTTGGTGATAAAAACAGTAATCGGTTCTTGATTTTCGAGAATAGTCACACGATGGCAGGTCGGGACTGTACGCTGGATGACTCGTAAGTTGTACTTTTTTCGCCTTAAAAAATCATTTGTGTGACTGGTTGTATGGGAACTTGCGATATCGTTTTTCTAAAGAATAGTCACATAGAACAGTGTCCAGTTCATTCAATAAAGAAGCAATCCCACGCGCAACTTTGGTTGGTTTTGATTCATCTCGAAAAGCTCTTAAGCTCGTTTGTTGCTTTGTTTTGAGATCATAGCTATAATCCATGTTTTGTCACCAGTTGCTATGTCCCACAATTAATTTGAAGCCCATTCCTTGTATTTGGCAAGCATAACATAGCACCAAGTAAAGCGGTCCGTTTGTTGAGTATCCTTCAATTTGTGTGGGATCCGTCGAGAACAACAAAATGTTTATGTACGATTGACTGTATTTCACTCATGCCTATGTCCAAAGATATCCGAATCTGATGGTAAGTCATATGACTGTCTGTTTTGATCATGTGGTGCGCAGCATCAATGTTTTGTCGTTGCACGGACGACTTTCACTAATTTCGTCATTAAGAGTGACAAGACCGTTTGAATTCTGCAAACCAGATATAGCCGAACGAGACTCTGCTGATTTGTCAAAATATACTTAAAACCGTAAAAAAACATGCAACGATTTTTCTTTTCCATTCCAGTCTATTTTATTGCAATCACGTTATTTTTAAAAGCAGATGATACAAATTCTTCGGCTTAAGAGTTACATTAATAAACTTTTCAAATATTGTTTATGTAAGTGGCTTATTCCTGAAACTTTAGTGTGACTTGAGTAATGTCCTGAGGAATCATGGACTTCGTGCAATCAAAATAGAAGTGTATACTTAATTTGTAACCGAAACATTTATTCAGGCCTGCAAATATCCTATAATAGTTTATAAATGGTCTTTAATTTATTGAGAATAAAATTTTCGATCACCTGTATTCTTGGGAATAGCTCGGGAGGATGGAAGTGTCGTAGATGTGGGTTGTTGTGCGCCTTCAGATGCAGTAGGCGCTGCAGCCCGCTGGCAGGCAGCCACGGGAACACGTTGTTGCCCACGTTCCTTTGCAGCGGATGGTTTGAACATTTACATTGACGATTATATTTGACTTTTGAGCTATATTATAATACTTACTTTTAATTAAAAAATCATACAAGTAAGGGTTAAATTTATTAAAAGTTATTAGGTTATTTTAAAGTTATTTTAGTTCAGGAATAAGGAATGCTTTTGATATCTACGTAAATTGGCCAATATGTAGAGTGGACACCGCTTACGATGTTTGACCAATCGGTATTCGAATGCGAATTTGTAGGTAGTTTAATTTGTAAGTAAAAAAGACATAGATGATTTAAAGATCAAAATATTGAGTACGGTCTGTAATTTATAAGAATGGAGTATATGGAACTTTTTAGCGGAGGATTTGCAACTTTAGATTTAATCAATTGATTATGTAAATTGTGTGCGTGCAAACTTACAAGTCTTCCAACTTTGAGATCGGCACGAATGCTTCCATATCGATGTGCTCAATGTGATTTTCTTCTAGGTTCCTGTAAAAACAGTTTCAATCATTAATGTAAAAATTTATTTTTTCTGTAGACTTTATAACCAGACTTCTGTATTTTAATTTGAGAAATCGTCGTGAGATTTAGTAATATCTGTAGGCTGAGAATATGCTCCTTCACTTCAAGGTCGGCAGCAACCCCCAATAGCGTTGCCAGGCATATGGATAAAGCGGGATACAGTGGGATTTTTGGTGGCTTGTACGGCCTAATTAGGTGGAGGATCCTTTTGTTTTTTGACTATTTCTTTACTTTTGTCATTTATGTTGATTTGTGTTCAATTTCATTAGAATTTGAGAAGATTTTATGGTGAATGACAAAAACCTAACTTAAAAATTATCGTATATAAAAAAATCTTCTTTCTCCAACATTTCTGGCTAAGCTGATTAGTTTGTCCCATTTTTGGAAGTCAAGATGTAGCAACCCTACCCCTAGTTCGCGCCCGCCTCCACCTACTTCACACGATATTCGTAAAGTTTTTCCAATTAACTGAGACACTCGGTGAAATCGTTTCCCTTTGCATGTCTAATTGAGAATTGTTCCCGCGCCATTTACGAAACTTCATGAGGGTTGAACTCAGATGACTCTTTAATAACCTCCGTTTAAGCCGGTGCGGATATAATAAAGTTTGCCTCTCGATTTAATATCTAGTAGTCGGGAGAATCTTTTGATAACAATCTAACAACGTTGAATTTAAAGACCTTTTTAATCATAATCTATTATGTGAGTATTCCTTGGTGTTTTAATACCGATTTACATATTGGAGTCCTTGTGGACGTTTACTTGGCAATAAATGTTACTCGATTCTGTATCAGCATATTTTGTGATATTCACGTATTGCGTTACTGTTCCCGAGGGAGGGAAGCGCGAAAATGTACCTATTGTAGGTCGTAAAATGATATTCATGAACATATTAGAGATAACTCGATGGAGAAATGTTTTATTAGACCATACGAAATCGACTTGCTTTTATTCATGCAATAGCAATAATGGAGCTATATAGTAAGCTATTAAATCACACTTCTTTCTTCTAGTCACAATATCTTTAGAGACTATGAGTATGTTTTCTATTTATAAGAGATCAGATACTAATAATTTAATAGGGATTATATTTACGTCAATAGATCATAGTGGTAAAGCAAAAAGTTCAAAGTGAACGTAAACCAACTGAATCTATAGTGAACATTGAATTGTTCATTGACTTACAACATCAACAAACGGTAGTTTCTTACTTACTTTAAATGATATCAAACAATTAATATACACTTTTGACGTTATTCTCAAAAAAAAATTAAAAAATAAACAAAGGTAGAAATGTGGAGGTATTTACGGGCAGATTTAAAATGGAGCTCGGTACCCGTTCTGGACTATTATAGATCTCAATTAGCTCATTCATCAGCTCAAGGCGCTGGATGCCAAAGAATGGGCACTCAAAAAATATGTGGTCCAAAGACTGCTCTGATGGTATTTTAGACAACAGTGACCGAAACGAAGCCTCAGGATATTTTTATTTCTTACTTTTGTACGTGAGGAAAAGGGGGCGACACTGATAGTTTTTAGAACTGACAGTTTGTAATCGATATATTAAAAATTTAAGTTTTTTAACTTTATTTTGAAAATAAACCTCTTTGTTTATTACATTTGAATAAGTATTTCATTCATTTGTCATTCGTTTTACATTATGGCAATTTGATGAATTTAACATGGGAAAATTTCCGCGCCTTGATTAAATATGACTTTTGATTTCATTTAAGCCATCATGAGAGTTATGGTAGACTTTCGTGGGGGAAAGGGAATGCAATACCAGGATCCCTAGCTATTTTTTGCGGGACCAGTCCTGCACATAAATCAAGCGGTGTCCCTCGGGATAGCAGAATAAACGTTAATCTTATCAGATGCTTGTACGAGGGTCAAACTGAAAGTTCTTAGAACTGGCCACTTATAAACAATATAATAAAAAAATAATTCTAAAATTTGAAAATATAACTCTTTGCCAATATTACTGAGTATATATTTCATTCATTTGTCATTTGTTTTACGATTTGGCGGCAAATTGAAAATTGTCTGTGTCACGTCATCATGAATTTAACACGAGAAAATTTTCGTGCAATGATTTTTTATGACTTTCGATGTCATTTAAGTCAACAAGAAAGTTATGATAGACTACGATTGGCCTTTCACGATGAAGCCCCATCTCGTGCGACTGTTTACAACTGGTTTAATGAGTTTAAACGTGGTCGCACTAATCTCACTGATGATTTACGTGAGGGACGGCCTTCTACGGCGACGACTGAAGATAACATCTGTGTTGTGCGGCGTATGATAGAGACTGACAAAAGAGTGACCTATCAACAGATTCGGACAAGCTTAGGCATCGGTATGAGTCAAGTGCACAAAATCCTCCACGAACATTTAGCGGTCAGGAAGCTTTGCGCCCGGTGGATACCTCATAATTTGACTGAGGCTCAAAAACTCCATCGTGTGGATTGGTGTCGTAAAATGATTGAAAGATTTAACGGAGGTGACTCAAATGCTGTGTTCGACATACTAACAGGTGACGAAAGCTGGATTTACTGTTATGATCCTAAAACCAAAAGACAATCTGCTCAGTGGGTGTTTCCTTTCGAGGAGTTGCCAACTAAAGTGAAGAGAGATCGAAGTGCGGGAAAAAAAATGGTGGCCTCGTTCTTTGGAAGGATAGGTCATTTTGCAACAATTGTGTTAGAGGATCAAAAAACAGTTTCTGCAGAATGGTACACTACCAATTGTTTGCCACTTGTCTTGGAAAAAGTTCGAGAGAAACGACCTCGCAGTAGGATCCTCCTTCACCACGACAACGCCTCGTCGCACACCGCCAAGCGAACGATCGACTATTTGGCGACATCAAACGTTGAATTACTGGGTCACCCGCCGTATAGCCCCGACCTCGCGCCTTGTGATTTTATTTATTTCCAAAATTAAAGAAAAACTTAAAGGAAAGCGGTTTATGAATGCTGAAGAAGCGGTGGCTGCGTATCGCGATGCCATTGAAGAGACCCCTAAGGACGAGTGGGCAAAGTGCTTTTCCTAGTGGTTCCATCGCATGCAGCGGTGTATTGACGTGAATGGACAATATTTTGAAAAGATATAATAAAACTAATAACTGGCTAATGTAATCAGTTTTTGATTTTCTAAGAACTTTCAGTTTGACCCTCGTATGACGTCTTCTATCTCCACTCAAGATCATGATGATTTACCTCTTGCCGCAATGATGTAAGCTAAAACTATCATGTCTGTTCGGGATGAACTTGAACAAACTCTTGTTTGCAAAACTGCTTGTCGCACTCATTCTGGAGTTCGCACTCTCGAAGTTTTGATTGAGTCTGGTGCATTAAAAGGCGAATATGTTCAATTCGCCTAGAACGCTTTATTAACTGTTGTACCGACAAGCGTGAAAGCAGAACGAGTGTTTTCTGTTGCTGGCTATCTGGTATGTAACATTAGGAGTCGTTTGGCAGACAAGACAATGTTTATGCGCAGTTACTTTCAAAACAATGCCTAAACTACCGATTGTCTTTTTGTAATAATTTTTATTCTTTTTTTATATCTTTTTATTAATCTTTCAATAAATAACTATAAAATTTTAATTTTGTATCATTTTTAGTTCTAGATGCATTTATGATACAGAGTTTCTCTCTTTTATCAATGACTTTCAAAAGTTCCGCAAATACCTGGATTAAAATTTTGTTGCGGGATTACATTCACTGGTTAGGGACAGCCTTTTACGGCAACGATCATCAATGTTGTACGACGTGTAGAGACTGATAAAAGAAAGACTTATCAGCAGATTCAGGTAAGCTTCTAGGCATCGGTATATGTCAGGTGTATAAAATTCTTCATGAACATATAGCGATCAGGAAGCGTTGTGCCTTGCGGATACCTCATAATTTAACCGAGGCTCTAAAACACCGCCGTGTTGAATGGTGCCGTGAAATGATTCAAAGATTTAACGGTAGTGACTCAAATGCTGTGTTTGACATACTTACGGGTGACGAAAACTGGATTTACTGTTATGATCCGAAAACCAAAAAACAATGTGCTCATTGGTTGATTTCTTTTGAAGAGTTGCCAACTAAAGTCAGGTGAAGTGGAAATACATGATGATCTTTGTAAGGCATTCTATATCTGATTTTATAAATTGTATTGTGATTGGCATGTGTCGTGTGAGTAATATGTCTGTAGGTAAACATATACACTTACAGCAACTGCAACGCGGGCGTGTGTGTGAACGCTCTTGCGGGCAGACGTCGCAGTTTGTTCCGCGCCAGCACCAGGTCATGCAGCCGCGTCAGCCCCGCCAGCGCGGGTGACTCCACTGATTCTATACTGTTGTCAGACAGCTCCCTGATCACACATACGTACTATGCAATTATTATACGGTCACTTCATGGTGCACCGTGCACAAATATTGTTAGAGTCAAAATACAGTAATTATCGATGCTATATATATATATTCAAGAGGAAGGAAACTTCCAATGTCCGCTGATACAACTAATTTATTTGACATTTTACTTCATAACAAAAAAGATTAAACATTTGCCGCCAGCCAATGACGAATTAGTCCTTAAAATTATGAATCTATTGGCAATAAACATAACTTGGTAATGGGTCTTTTGAAAATCTTATTACTACACTTGATAGTAACAACACGGACTATTCCGTCGTTACCCGGATGAGTTTGTATTACTCTACCAAGTAACCATTTCGATGGTGGCAAACACTCATTTTTTACAATAACTAAGTCATTAATTTTAACAGGGTTTTGAGGAGAGTGCCACTTATATCTATGCTGTAATGTTACTAAATATTCATGTGTCCATCTTTTCCAAAATGATTGCAACATATGTTCAATGTGTTGCCAACGATTGAGTCTGCTAATAGGAACATCAGTCACATTTTCATGAGGAACTACACTAGGTGGACCTAACATTAAAAAGTGACCAGGGGTTAGCGCTGTGTAATCATCAACCGAGTTATTTAAAGCAGAAATGGGACGGGAATTAAGACAACACTCTATTTGTGTTAAAAGAGTGGCATACTCTTCAAACGTGAGTTTTATATCTCCTATAACACGATTGATATGATGCTTAGTTGAACGTACTCCCGCCTCCCATAAGCCTCCGAAATGAGGTGAACCTGGGGGTATAAAGTGCCATTCGGTCCCCTCCGAAGCTAATATCTCACGCAACTCTACTGGCAATGAAGATTTAGCTTTATTTAACATTTTCTTAAGTTCAAAATTTGCCCCTATGAAATTAGTCCCACAATCTGAGTACAAATGAGCACAGTGCCCACGTCGAGAAGTAAACCTTTTAAAAGCTGCAATGAAAGCATTTGTTGATAACTCTGAAACTAATTCCAAATGTATAGATTTGGTTGAAGTACAAATGAAGATTGCAATGTAGGCTTTGTACATAGCAGCATTCCTAACTTTTGAAGATTTTAAATAGCAAGGACCTGCGAAATCTACACCACTATTAGAAAATGGTTTAGCAATAGTGACTCGAACTGATGGCAAGTTTCCCATCAATTGAGTAGCAAATCTAGGTGCATATCTTACGCAAGCAACACATTTCTTGACATGTAACTTAACAAGCGATTTTACGTTTGTAATCCAGTAAGTACATCTAATAATATTCAACATAAGTAATGGCCCTCCATGCAACAATTTCTTATGAGTAAAATCAATAATTAATTTGGCTAATTGTGATTTGCCAGAAATTACAATAGGATGCTTTGCATCATGAGGAATACAAGCATTTTTTAATCTACCACCTACTCTTAATATGTTATGATCATCAATAAATGGACGTAAGAAATACAAAGGACTTTTCTTCGAAACAGTTTCACCATTCGATAGTTCATTAAATTCTTTTTGAAAATAATAATTTTGTGAAATCTTAATACAACAATTCATGGACTGTAATAATTCATTGGTCGTTAAATAAATTGGAAATTCATCAAGCAAATTAACATTACTTAAATTCATTCTGTTTATCACACGTTTTTTACATATATTAATAAATCTCAAACAATAAGCTAGAACTCTCTTAAGTTTTGTCAAACTAGAATATCTGTGTAAAATAAACTCTTCTTCTAGTTCATTAACATTTAAACATTGTACAGAATTAGCTTTCGCTTCTAAATCTGTTTCATGAAATTCATTATTAGGTAAAATATCATTAGTGGTATATAACCATTGTGGTCCATTCCACCATAATTCATAATCTGGCAACTGGGTAGGAGAAATACCTCTAGACGCGCAATCTGCTGGGTTATCTATTGTACTAATATGATGCCATCGATTAGGATGAGTTACATTTAATATCTCCGCAACTCGGTTTCCGACAAAAGTTTTCCAACAATTTGGTGGTTTTTGAAGCCAAGCCAGAACTATAGTGGAATCAGTCCAGCCAAATACATTACTCTCAGGAACATTCAAACAAGTTTTTACCTTATCAATCAACTTAGCAGTCAAAACAGCTCCACACAATTCTAGTCTGGGAATTGAAATCTGTTTTAGTGGCGCTACTTTAGTCTTAGCTGCTACTATTTTAACAGTAACTTGAGAATCAACAATTCTAACATATACAACACCAGCATAAGCAGCATTAGATGCGTCACTAAAACCATGAATTTCAATTCTCATATTTGAATTTGTAAATCCTATCCAACGTGGTAAATAAATAGTTATCATATTTATCATTTGTTCCCTATAAGTCAACCATTCAACTTTATAACTTTCGGGCAATTCATCATCCCAACTTAGATTTAGTAACCACAACTTTTGTATAAAAACTTTTGCTTTAATAATAATGGGTGACATCCAACCTAAAGGGTCATATATTCTCGCAATATCAGCAAGAACTTCACGTTTTGTTATCTTGGACTTTAGATCTTTTGAAAACTTAACACCTAATTCAAATCTATCTTTCTTTGGATTCCACTTTATACCTAAAGTTTTAATAGATTTTTCCATAATAATCTCATATGACTCTTGCGGTTGAGTGTCATCACCGTAAATAGAATTCATCACCAATTTTGAGTTAGTACCCCACTTATGTAGAACCATTCCTCCCCGCTGCAGTAATGCAGTCAAATCTTTTTGTAAAACAATAGCTTCTGCTTCTGAATCACAACCAGAAAGCAAATCATCAACATAAAAATCAGATTCTAACACTCGCGCAGCATTTGGATACTTATCCCGATCATCATTTGCTAATTGCTTCAACACCTTAATGGCAAGATAAGGAGCGCACGATGTGCCATACGTTACCGTACATAACCTGTATTCGGCGATCGGATCAGCTGGATCTTTTCTCCACACAATACGTTGATAATCTTGATCTTCCTTTCTGACTAAAATCTGTCTGTACATACGCTGAATATCAGCCACGAGGCAAATTCTGTGTGTTCGCCATCTCAAAAAAATATCTCTTATGTCACTTTGTAAAGCTGGACCTATCAATAACTTTTTATTTAAAGATGTTCCCGTACTTGTCTCAGCTGAGCCATCAAAGACAACCCGAAGCTTAGTGGTTGTACTTTCTTCTCTTAAGACTCCATGGTGTGGAAGGTAACAAACGTCTAACTTGTTCAAATTTTCAACTTCTACTTTTTCCATATGTCTTAACTCTTCATACTCATCCATAAAACCTCTATAACGTTCATAAAACTTCTTATCTTTCTGGAATCTTCGTTCCATTTGCAATAAACGTTTTACAGCAAGAGTCTTAGATTCTCCGAGCGGTGTGCCATTATACTTTGAAAATGGTAGTGCTACTGTATAACGCCCTGAGTCAGTGCGAGAATGTGTCTTTTCAAAAATTTTCTCACACTCTGTTTCACTTGCAGTCTGTGTACGGTTTTTTGTGTGTAATTCTTCTGATTCCCAGAACCGCTGTAATAAATCATCTGTCTCAAGTTGGCTGTGCATTAAACATACTTCCTTTATTTCAGTGTGCCTTTTACTTTCAACTTTTCCTGAAATAAACCAACCAAGATGCGAATTCTGTGCAATCACTAAATCATATCTTTTAAGTCCATCCACAACAATTTGTGCATGTATATCTGCCCCCAATAAAAGATCTATACTGCTAGGCTTTGAAAACGTAGGATCTGCTAAAGGCAATGTGCTTATCCCTGATGACAAATTCAAACATATCTCTTGACGAGGCAGTATAGAAGCAAGTGACTTCAAAACATGAGCTTTGACGTGAACTATCGGCGTGTCATTATATATTGAAAAAATATTAAATCCAACTAGCTCTTTGGAAACCATCGACAGTTGTGGATCTATACCCGTCACTTTGCTAATATGATGCTCTTTATTTAAACCAAGACGCTGAACCGCTGATGACGTAATGAATGATGCTTGCGACCCTTGATCAATCAGTGCTCGCAACTTGTGTTTATTGCCATCTTTGCCTATTATTCGAACCATAGCCGTAGCAAGTATGACCTGTGTGTCAGTAATATCAGTTTTGTGGACAGCCAACTGGGAAATGTCTTTGTCTTCGCTATCCTCTTCGTTTTTCTCAATTTGTGTAGCATGTGCTTGTTGCGTTTCATATGTAGTTAGATGTAAGAGTGAATGATGACGTCGCTTACATATTTTACATGAAGTATTTTGTCTACAAAATTTTACACTGTGTCCCGGTACCAAACAGTTGAAACACAGTTGTTTCTCTTTTACGACATCTCTACGTTCTTCCGAATTTAGTTTCACAAACTCTTTGCAGTTATAGATATAATGATCTTTATAACAAAACGAACAAATGACTTCGACATTCGTTTTGAAGGTTCTTATTGACGGTTGCCGATTCACTACTTCTTTGTGTTGTGTCACAGCTAAAGCCTCCAAAGATCTGAATCTTATTTCTAAAAATTCCAGCAATTGCTTAGTGCTTGGAATGTCTCTATTTCCTGCTAATTGTTGTTCCCATAAACGCTGACTCTCACAATCAAACTTTGCTACTATAATATGTGTTACGAGAGGATCCCAGTTTGTCGTAGATACGCCAACATTATTAAGTGCATTCAATGTCTCATTCGTAGTATCTAATAATGCGCGTAATCCCTTGGCTGATTCTAACATAAGCTTCTTCTGTCCAAGTAACCGTGTAACGTGTGCGTGTACTATAAGCCTCTTGTTGTTGTATCTTGATTCCAAAACTTCTAATGCTTTCTCATAATTAGCTTCGGTTAATGGAAATTGCTTTAATAATAACTCTGCTTCGCCTTTCAAATTACTTTTCAAATAATGATACTTTTCTATATTGCTTAAATCCTCGTTGTTATGAATCAAAGACTTGAATAAATCATAGAAACCTGTCCAATCATTATAATTTCCCGTAAAAAAAGGAATTTCAATAGATGGTAACTTAGCCCTTAATACTTTACTTTGAGGTGTTGTGACAGATGCTTCTCCCTTTTGTACAGATATTAATGAATTGGCAGACAATTCCTCTAACTGTTCTTTCATCAAAGTTTTTAATTCTAGATAAACATTTTCACATAAATAATAAGAATCATCTTGAAAATATGTTAAGCTTTTCTTTTCATCAAGCGTTGCTGTTGTTACAATATTAAAATGGTTACCTTTAAAGTTTTGAAAGTTTGTTTCTAATAATTCTAATGCTGGCGAAACCGCTAGCGGAAAGCTAGTTAAATATAATTGCGTACCTAGATGTATGAAAATTGCATTTTCAATGGTTATATGGTTATGTAATACGTAGCTTCTAGACTGAAAAAATTGAATACTTACAACACTCTCAGCTCCAAGCACTCTTGCAAGTCCGGCACTCGGTCCAGCAGGTTAGATTTCACATCTCTGAAACAACAACATTTGACAAATTTGTATCGGCCCTCGATGTGTTAGAATACTATGATGTTACATTATACCCAAAAAGTGAATATCATGCGATTATACCACTAGACATCTTGGATCCTTCATGATATAGAGTACTAGATGTACGGTAGAGTAATATAAGTAGGGATTTAGGATCTTAACTAAGGGTTCTACCTTACCCCTAGTAGATGGGTACACGGTTTAGCGTACGCTAAACCGTGTACCCATCTACATATGTAGTATAGTGTTATCACAAGTAGGACAAAGGACACCTACAAAGGCGCTAAGTTTCGGGGATTCTCCAAAATTTTTGGTGGTTTTTGTAGCTCAGGGAAATCTTTGTCGGGTTTTTGGGGAGAAAGAATTAAATACTAAAGGAATATAGTTTTATTATTTCTAGTTTTTCTGATGAATATAATCTTTGTGAGAATAACTATTACAAAATTCATTCTGATATAATTTTTAAGATATATCCAATATCCAATCTTACGGCAAGGGCAACGATTTTTTGCAGCATTAAAACCATGGTCGGTGTCACTGACTGAGTTAGAATTTCTACGTAATGTGGTGTAATCGCTGCATTTAGTTTACCAACCCCTCTAATATTTTAGAAAAAAAAAATAAGATATAAGATTTATTTAAATTTTTTGCAAATAATGGCGCAGTTGATATGGACAACATCCGGTAGAAATTATCGCACATTATTTTTGTATTTCACTGCCACATTTTTTGTGTACATGATGTCCTCAGACAAATATTTTAAGATTATATACAAAGATTAAATACATCTTGGCTACAGCAGCTTGCGGTCTTTTTTATGTAGTCGATGTAAGTTAGTGTTATATGTAGGTAACGTAATGGTGAACAAAATATAATTCTGGCAATGTGAAACACTTATCAAGTAAATGCAGTCATCGGCGTTCACTTTTGTTCAACCTCACAGAGTTTGAAGAACTTCACTAAGAATTGGATTACCAAAACTTTTGATTAAGTTACCTGGAGTGTACAGACAGTGACTCGGAAATTATCGCTGCATTCCCAGACTAAACCGTTTGGAATGTTTTTTAGTGCCACGCTGAATAAACAAAAGCGGTAAAAACCATTTAAAAATACTAGCAGTTACCCGCGGCTTCGCCCACGTGATCAGAGAGAAACAAATAAGAGTTGTGTATAAGACGAGAAAAAGCACAGATTAATAAATAACAATAGGCTTATATCCTACAAGTGAAAATTCAGATTTTTGTTATATGTTCGGCAAATATGAACCATTTTTACTTATAAATATTTAACAAAATAAATGTTATGATACTATTTTGGAAAATATAAAGCTTTGAAAATTTTAAATAAATATAACATAAAATTGGATACATAAAACGTTACAACTTTCATTATAAGAGCTATAAACATTAATGCACAAATAACAAAGATGTAACAAATATTGCTCAGACGCATATGTTTTTCGCTATCGTTGCACTTTGTGATGTCACTTAGTGCCTTGAATTTGTAGGGAGCGTTTTCGGCGACTATTAGCAGTTCCAAAAAAACATAGCACCATATCTCCGAAACTATTAATCACAGACATTGTGTTATTTGTACATTATTTCTCAGATATTAATGGACTATTTATTTATAAAATAAAAAGTTGTCAATTAGCCTAAAAGGCTAGTAATACCCATCTTAGAATGCCAATGGATTTTTGAAGTATTTTTTATTAAGAATATGTTTCAGTATAGCATTATGAAGGCAAAATTGGTCAAAAACATTAATATATAAACAGTCAAAACATTAGAGAAAATCAATGTAACATTGACCGCAACGATTAATTTGACATTAAACAATCGTAAAATCGTTCGGTTGTGTGTGAATCACGAATATCTCATCCTGGTGATCAGGTCACCTGCTATGTTACACTGCTACACCGGAGTTCTAAGCTTATACAATCAAGTATTGTCGGTGAGCATCTGTGTAAAAAGGGTGAACACCTGCGTATCAAGTCCCCACTGCTGGGGAATGACTAAGAAGCCTCCCAATCTATCACAAGTTATTATTTCATAAAGATAGATAAAACAAAAGACTTGATTGAAAGTTGTCGGACTACTAACCATCATTTAATAAGAGAGTTCTTAAATACTCTTTTGACTTATGTTTCCATTTTAGTGCGCTGTGGTATTGACAAATCTTGTCCTTTTATATAACAACTAGCTTCGCCCACGTGGTCTCTAGGGAAATGTTTAGTGGGATAAATAGCAGGTTGGCGCTTAGTTTATTGTTTTCTCAATTCAGCATTTTCAGATATTCTGGCGATCGAGCTGATGACTGCGCCAGTACTTAACGTACTTGAAAAGTTGGACACGTTGTGAAACATAAATAAATCATAATTTGAATAATAAGTATAATTCAAGTTATTCATATTTACGAAATAATACTTTAAAAAATAGTTTCAAAAAATGAAAAAACAATCAAGTGAGCAAAACCCAATCACACAATTGACCATAAACCACAACCCTGTTTTCAAATTACGGCTGTCATAGTTTAGTTAAATATATAACTTTCGCATTGCATTGCAATAAATTGTATAGAATACCTATCCAATAGTAGGGCTTTAACACGTGAAACGTCGGGAAATATAGACAAACGAACCTATATTTCCCAACGATTTATGTGAGTTACACGAACTGTGGTAACTGACATTTTGGTCGGTGTAACTCGGCCGCAATTAGTTTTAATCGCGTTAATACCCATACCTTACCATATTTCGCTAAATATAATATACAATATACAATGTAATGTACACACCTGAATAAATTAAAACTCGTACGTAAACTGCATAGGTACATTTAATTAAAGAAGATAAGAATTCATATTATTATATGGCAAAAACATTAAACTATTTAAATCTCTTCAATTACAATAACTGCGAATGTGGTGCTATACCAAAATGTTCCCCATCGGCTTCTAAGATCTAGCCGATCTCTTTCTAGAGTTGAATCTGTTGCAAAATTTCCACCTTAAAACTTAAAGAAATCGTATTTTTTATTTCTCGTAGTCTAAACTGTTAGATAATTAGTTGAGGTGTGAAATAAAAATATTTTTTTCGCTTTATTTCTCGAAGTACGAAATCATGTGTCTCATCATCTCATCTCTTTATATCATAGAATAGTGTAGATTTTTATTTGGCAACACACATTACATACACAATATATATCGCACACCTTGATCTAAACTGAGACAACTCCAAAATTTGAGTGAGTTTTGAGTTAGTACAATATTCAAATACTTGGTGATCATACGCATCTATCCAACATAACAGATTCAATAAAGGTTCGGGGATGAGCCGCTACATAACTTTAGCTTTCTTTTGTTGAATCAACAGTGGTCGCGCTCCTGCCACGTAAATAAATGTATTGTCAGACCTCCACATTAGTTTTTTGAGTTGTCTTAGTTTAGATCTAGGTGTGCGATATACAGTTCTTTATTTTTGTGTGCAGAATTAATAAGAACATAAGAGAAATTATTTGAAAATAAAGTTATAATATGAGTTTTTAATATTAGTATAATATCTTTTTTGTTAAATAAAAAGTATGTGGATAATTATTTTTATCTACATAACAATTTATGTTAACAATAAAGTCAAAGGAAAGCAAAATACTTAGGTGACATAAAAATGTCCTACATCGAATCAAAAATTACAATATTTCGATATCATTTTTATGGGACCACCTTAGGACTATAATCTGTAGAAAATTCTTCTTACTATATGAAGTTCCTCTAAACTACTGAAGGTTGGCTATCACCTTCTTATAGTTTCTAGTTTCCGTGAGTCGGAACAGCTGGGCTGTGCTAGCTGTTCCCGTCCAATGTATGACACTTTGGAGCCACGACTTTTTCTACTTCCAATGCTTCTCTTCTCAATAACTTAGCCTATTATTATAGGTTAAAGAAGTTCGTATCTCCGATGCCAAAGATAGGTGATTTTTCGCCATTAAATTGAGTGCATGAGTCAATCGAAAAAGAAACGATCTTCAATTCACGGAGAAATCGGTAAAAACATTCACACCATTGAAAATAGAACTTCCATCTTTTTTTTTGAAGTCTGTTGAAAGCTTTATTGAAACTGTTACTATTTGAGATAATAAAGCGAGGTAAGTATCCTAACGAAATGTACAAATTACCTCTGTGTTCAATTATTTTGTGGAATTTAATATCAAATGAAATCGACATTTTGATTAAAGTGCTAATCATTTCATAGTTTACCATATTTATGACGATAACAATTTTGTTACTTCTTTGCTCATCGAAATTCATCAAATGCTTTCAGAATCATAGTACAAAAGGAAAACGATAGGCATATCGGCAAAATAATGGCATAATAATGGCCATTATTGATGACAAATTGCTAAGAATAAGCTCAGTCCCGGATAATATACCCTGATAGGCCAGCTATAAGATCTGGATAGCGGCCAACATGGAAATCGGTTGTACAAAAACCAGCCTCCAAAGGGGTCACTTGTCGTCGCCTGGAGTTTTTTTTTATTGAATAGGTGTTTTAATGCGTCTGATAGAAATATGTAATTTAAGAGTGTTAAATTATTAAATATTTCCACTGCTTAAATGAATTAGCGTATAAAATAACGTAGTAAGTATCACTTGGTGCATTCATATTGACAACAATGTAAGTTGAATGTTATGTAATGGACGGCAGCCTTGACTGGCTGTCGACGATCTCTACTGAGTCACTGAGTGCATTCATGCATCCGTCGATTTGGGTGCGTCCTACATCAGGGAGCATTTTCGTAACGTAATCAGGACTGTTTACTAACGTTACTTCACTTCTTGTTGAAGTTATATTGGTCGATCGACAAGACACGTCATAGCGAATTCGTTGAAACATAATTCCGACTTGTAGGTTAAAAATACATTGGATTAAAAATAAAATTACAACGATATCTCATTACTAATTTAAAATTGCATATTGTACTTGTAATTCCGTCACATTCAGTTTTATGAAGGGTACACTTGCAGCGTCTTAGCTACCATCATATCAGCTGTGTCAATGACAGAGCTCCGCGTGCCAAGAGTTGTCAAACCCTGATGTTGACGTGGGTAAGTACAAATTTTAATGAAATCCGAAATCTTAAAATGAGTAAATCTTTATCGAAACGTTGGTCAAACGAAAATACTTCTTATACAGGGCTCGTTTGTACATTAGGTTCTGAGCTTAAACAAGTGACTTACAGTATCCGGAGCTGTGGTGCATGCGAGCATAGTTCGGTGGGTAGTGCGGTGAGACGCGCGCGGTCCACACGCAGCGTGCGCAGACGCAACGAACCATTCAGCGAAGGCAGCTCGCGCAACCCGCGCGCCTCCGACAATATACTGCACACAAAATATTATACCTGTATTACTAGTACCTTATATTGGTACTATAAGTTTTATTACATTGTAGCTATGTTACCTACAATTATACCGATTTAATCGCAGCATACACGAAGGAGTAATTTTCTGTTAACGTCTAAAATAACTTTAATTTTGTGAGGCTTCCATCTCAGGAATGTATAAAGAAAAAAAAGAGATAAAGTCGACACAATAGTTCTCCACGTTTATTTATTTTTTTATATCGAGGACACGGCAGTTAGCCCTCGGTCACTCGCTCATTTTATAGCGGACGGGATGTTGTTGTTATTTATTTCGGGTCAAACGCTGAAGTTTCCCCATTCGGTGAGGGAAATAAGATTACACGCGGCGCGATGCTCTTACCTCGACCTAAAATGTTGAAGCGGCCGCGACGGTTTCTTTGGTTCTACGCCGGTAATGTTGCAATAACTCATACAAATTGGCATACATGAATAATTATTTTGTAAACGGTAATCGATCACTCGATTGTAGAGTGTCATGGCATTGACAAAATAAGATTGCGTAATTATTAAACATCGTTTAAATATTTGCAACACGTATCTATGTTAGAATTATATTTGTATATCTGTTTCCAATATCATTGATTCTCCAGCATTCGAGAACACATAAAACGGTTGTAAGATCTGTCGATGTGTCTGCAGGAGTGTCGTGATTTCGAGACATTCAGGCGATCGTTTATCTTTCACTTTACGACGTCGCGACACTTACTGAGCGAATTAAATTCACGTGCGGTGGAGCAACGTAACCACCAGCCTCCCTTCGTGTACCCCCACCCTTCTCGTTGCCGAGTTGTTTGCTAACATTTACAAGCACATATCGGCCTACCGGATCTGTCGAGTGGCCATTTTCCCTAAGATATATTCACTTTGCCATCGAGCGGGTAATTTGCGACGTGTCGTAGCGTCCGGCATCCGACGGTCTCAGGAAACCGGACGAGTTATGACGTCAGACAGTTGGCGCTAGTCCCGGTTGATTCCATAGGGTAGGGGGATTTACGCACAGGGCGTGAGCAAGCTGCATGTAGCGCTGGTCAAGTGAATGACATAGAAGTGAATGGATCGTCAATTCAAAAGTATCACTTGAATAATGTAACTGTGGCTTATTCTGAGTTCGATAGCAGGTTTGCAATCCAATGGCATATTATTTTCACATTCAGAAGTGCTTGTAACAGACTAACTAGTCTAAAAAGATATTTCGAATTTGAGATTGAACCAAGCTATAGATATTTAATGCAGCCTTTAATGGCACCAGGACCCTTTAGAATTAATTATTTACCTGGAGCCTTGGTTGTAAGTGTATTGTTCCCTCTACATCATTATTTTGTCGCTATAGGAGCATTCTAAATTTTAGGAATATTTAAAATGCTCCTATAACATGACACGAGTCAAAACCGGTCGCTTGATTACAATATTTATGTTATGGCGTAATAATTTTTGCACAGTTTATTGGTAATTAAGCACAGCATATTATGAGAAACTTGACGAGTATTGCCACTCGTCGTGGTTGTAAGAGCGTGGGAATTGCAGATTATATTTGCATTGTTGTAGTTATCAACCTATGGACCAATAGGTCAGGGCCATTGACTATATTATTAAAACCTTTTTTATACTTGTTTCTTTCTGTAAAGAAAACAAAAACTTTAAGTATATGTTAAAAACGTGCTAAAATTTTATATTAGTTGGGTTTCTACCCAATGTTATCTTGACATTACTAAGATAATTATACAAAGCAATAATTGTGGTTGACGTCATCAAATAAGACCTGTGGGCAACATAAAAATTGGCATGTAAGCTAGGCCAAAATATAACGACGGACAAGATATCATGTGTTATGAATCACAATTTCATCATTGGAACACTTATTAGAACTACCTAACCATGTTACAGTGAAATTGTTTTAGTTACGTTTCTTAAAATTTTATAGTGTCATTTTGCGTGCCACTGAAAGTCCCTGCCCGCAATATATTTGTCGAGAGCAAGATAAGTAACTTTTGGGGTTGATAGCGGTCCGGTTTGTGGGTCGAGCTCTAACAGATTCTGGAATTACTTACTCTCAGATATATTTTCCTTTCCAATTACGTACATATCTCTAATAGATTTACCATTATACGGAAATTTGTGAAATAGCTATAAAGCATATTATTCAATGTAATCGGGTTATATTATATAAATATCAGATTATTAGTTGTTGTAACTACTTTTAGTGAAACGGTTTTATGACAAAGACAAAATATTACTGTCGAAGATGACCAAGTTACACGCCGTTTCAAGGTGTCTCCGCTGCCGTTTGCCAGCACAACGCGGTAGGATCAGTTCAAGCGTAACACTTTAGATTTATGTTTTAGAACCGACAATTGCTTTAAAAATAAAATAAATTATTTTATCATAAAACGCCTCTAATGTTATTTTCATCAAATTGTGGAATTTTCAACTACAAGGTGTTTCTATTCGACGACAGCGTGTATTATCTCGGATCTATTGTAGGTAACTAAGCTATCATTCCTGGATGGATTGTATACTGACAGGGTGGTGAGGTGCGGTAGGTGTTGCAGCGCTCGCGGATGCACCCTCGTCAGCGGGTTGGCGCGTAGCTCGAGCCGCGTTAGACGCCGCGCCCTCTGCAGCACCTCTTCCTCCACCAGTTCCACGCGGTTGCTACCCAACGACCTGTGATCACGTCATACAGATCACACAATTACCCTCCAAGATGTACTCCGACCATTATTGACTGACACACTATGGTGTCAGACAAGAGACACACTATGGTGTCAGTCCTACAAACATAATCGTTCATTACCAGTAATTACGTAGGCATTGAACAGAAAAAAATTGTATTTCTAACTTCATCATAAAAAATATTTCATTGCTATTATATTTCATTAAAATTGATTTAATGAAAAATGCTTAAAAAATCCACCAGCCTAGGGGTACCTGGATATCCCGAGATAGGGTGAGATGGGGTACTATCATCTCTGGGTACCTGTGGCTGGTTGGTACTTTAAGTATTTTTCATTAAAACCTAAGATTTTGCTTTGAAAATTTAAATGAACTTTCAACTAAAATAGTGCTCAAGTTGTTTATGCATGTTTATGAAAAGAACATTATGAAGAAAAAATATATGAAAGCACATACACATTACGACTTTGGAGTAATACAGATGCGTTGTGTTTATTATTAACAATTATAATGCATAATGCACTACACGAAGCATACGGTCTTTCCTCAGCCGCTTTTTATAATGTTTTTAGTTGGAATCTTGAATATCATTGTGGCTGTTCACAATCACATCGAGATATGGACTAATGAATGAATAGGCTTGCTCGCAAAGTATCTTTAAATTTTCGTCTATATCTATAATCAAAATAAAAAGTCTGCAGGAATCTAGAGAAATGTTCGTTTTGGAACTTGCTAAAGACATTAATCTGACTACTAAATCACTTCGGAACTTACACCGAGTTCACTAACTAACGAGGCTGGAAAATTAAATGTAACCGACGAAATTGTTTCTTAAGGTTAGGATCTTAGAAGAAAAAAACCCTCTTAGGGGCACCTCGTTGTCTGTCAAACAGGTAGACGATTTTGTAAGGAATGCATTGAGCTATGAAGTTCATAATTTCAAGATTGCAATCCCTTACAGTTTTGAATAAATTGAATTACTGATTCAATGCTACTAAAAGTTTGACCACTCGCAAGGAAATCGAAACTTATAGGATTCTTCCAGAATTTAAGTTTACATTATTTTATTTGTAGTTTATAAATTGAATGCTACCTACGTGGGGATAACACTTGGACGATTATATCACAGAAAGGATAATATTGTTATTTGGTAAATCTTAGATTTTACAAGAAAATCGTAAGATATCTAAACTTGCGGCTTGAGTATAGTCACATACTCGTATATAATAGGTTGAGGAAAAAGTTTCTTCGCATTTTATATGAAAATTCAAACATTTATTATTAAATTTTATTTACTTTAACTAAACTATGTAGATACCATTTTGTATGATAAATTTTGTTATCTTGTATGTTGAGCTTTGGACCTGAATTTTTAAAGTCCCGTTCATGAATGAAATAAACGTGTACTTGAAGTTATAACCTAAACTAACAAAATCCTTTTCGTCTTTTTCCTTTAAAAGTTGGGATTAAAAAGATATGGCATAAAATACTTTGTGGGGTTATATATTGCATCTTTGCTTTTTCGTTGAATGGACGTTAAAATAAATAAAAATGGTAACCAGGTACTTAATTAGATTAAAATAATTAGATATCTAACAAGATCCAGACACTTATAATAGAAGAAACATTTATAACATGACTAAACTGTGTAGAGTAGATCCCTTTGCCTTTAATTAAATCATTACAACTGAAAGTGACAAATAAGGGCAATGTACACATTGAACTGTCATTGTTATAACCGAATATAACAATGACAGTTCAATGTGTACATTGCCCTTATTTGTCACTTTCAGTTGTAATGATTGCCATTCGGAATCCAAAAGTAATGCAAATATCAACGTTAGTCGAAGAAACATGCTTAATTGTCAAGTTGAATATTAAGATAAATATCAAACTCCACGAACGAACACACAACAAACAAACCAAACTAATAATCCGCTATCATTCCACCATCATCATCATAGAACATTCATAGATGAAAACAAGCATGTTACAATAAAATCAACCAATCGATTATTTAGAACAAAATAATCAACAAAGAACAAATTAATATTTTAGTTTGGTTCCCCGACATTAAAATTCACCATTTTGTAGAAATAAAATCTATTAATCATATATTATTTATTTGTCATATTGCCATCCATGTACGGTTTTGTAAATTATGGGGTCTGATATCGCCATTCTTCTTTTGGAGCTTTTGATCAAAAATCATGCCAAGTGGTTTTGGCTGTCCTCGCGTGATGTTATCCTGACACTGCCTAATAGGCCCGTCTTTACTCATGGTGTAGGGGGTGCAATGCACCCGGGCGCCGCGCGTTAGGGGGCGCCACGCCGATGATGGTCTAATTTAAATATGTGTTAAAAGTTCTGGGGGCGCCAGAGCACTACTTGCACCTGGCGCCTGTTGTGCTTAAGACGGGCCTGCTGCTTAAAGAATTGTGAAGAGACCTCTCTTAATATTTGCTGAGAGGTAAAATATGTGTGAGGTCTAGCGTTGTTATGATGAAAAACACACCCCTTTTATTAATTAATTCTGGTCGCTGACCGACTTATGACCACGACCTTTTTCACACGCAGTTTCAATACGTCGTAATAAATAATAATGAATAAGTACACGGTTCATTAGGCGACCGTAGCGACGTGCATCTTTGACATCAAAATTTCCGGACTGAAAACGCTTAAACCAAATTTGTGCTATCCTCACAGAAGCTGTACTAAACGTCACGATTTTTTTTCGCGGCTTGGGTTGCTTTTTTCATTTTTTTTTGTAATAAAACTTTTTAAAAGGTATCGAATTTATTCATTAGATTCACTCATTTTGACAGTAAGAAAAACAAATGAAAATCACACATTTTCCTAATTAATTCAAACTTTTTAATGACACCGAAACCAGCAAGATACAAATGTATAGTCAGAAAGATTTTTTTATGAGTTTAAGCATACTATACGTGAAAATACTTTTCTCCCAACCTAATATTTATTTCCATACCATGTACGAGTACCATACCAGAATTGTGTTTTGGCATAAAATATTTTTTGATACGAGGTTATTCATGATAAAGGTACATACATCTCAGTCACAGCAATTACCCCTTTTTTCTCCATACAAGTACAAAATTAAAATAAACAAGTTCTTAATTAAAGATAGACAGCTAAGCTTAAGTCGATAATAATTACGTACCCTCTGTAAATTGTATTTTATATTTGAAGTGAAAAAACTGATGCTACAGAATTTTTTTCTCAGGAACCGCCAGCTAGTCGTTTAGGTACTTATTGCGCTCGCTGCCCACTCTCGATACACTTTCGTTTTATGTTTAGGTAATTCTTCTAACTAAACCGATAGATCCCTTATTTCTTGTGTTTATAATATTGCCAAAGCCAAAAAAAAATATCTGTTGTAAATTCGGGTATACAAAAATGCAACCAATTAATAATATTACGGCTATTTTATGTTTATTAGTCATAAGAACTAGTAATAGAGCAGGTAATCGTCAAAAAAGATTATGTCAAATAAGTTTCAGAGCTTCTAATATCGCTAGTTAGATGGAACCGCCATTTAAAAAAGAAATAATGGCCGAGGGCCTGTAATCCCTGTTTTTCATTACCGATCAAGTTTATAACCGGCTGTCCCTTTTAAATCCCGTTTTTCAGATGAATTTTATGTTATATTTGCTGATTCGATAGTCTTTATCCTGTCTCTCGGATATTTCTTTCTATAAAAAGCTTACCTTGAATAAACATTAAAATAGTTAATTCGATCTCGTATATTTTGCTTGAATGTTCTCACCTATAATAGCTATTATTTAGGTAGCTACTATTAAATTAACAGAACAAAAATTTATTGGTTAAATAAGAATTACAATGGAAGATTCTAAATATGAGGTGATTACTCACAGGTCTTCTAGTAGCGGTAGCAGGCGCACGGCTGGCGGCACCTCCGTCAGCAGGTTATCATCCAGCCGCCTGGACACAAAAATATAGCGTAATATACGTTCATCATATGAATAAACACCAAAATAATGTAAATGTAAATACAAATTAAAATTAGAAAGCATAAATTGGAATGCAGAATTAGAAATACATAATAATAACCAGATAGCTGGCACGGTTCAGGAGTTTTCAAATATTACCATCAATATTAGCCCACAAGAAAAATAATATTTGAGCAGAATTTCCCGTCCCCTGTACTTACTTAATGTTAATTGACTTTACAGACGTTAAGTTAAAAAATAACCTTCAGATTTAGTTGATTTTTTTCCAAATTGCCGAGCAATATTTTCTTCTCCGAAAAAAAACAACATGCGTACTACTAGATATAAATTAAGGCAAATTGATTGAACCGATTTCTAAAAGTAGTGCTGTCACAAACAGACATAGTTAATTTATTTATCAATTCATATATAAACGTCATTTCCATCTTAATCCCAAATAAATCGAAGTAGCGAAAACGGTTCACAAATAACTCTTATTATTTATGAAAACAAATTTCTTATTTACTGAAATAAAACCGGATACGTCATATGAAAATAGAAAATATAGATAGCACAAAAGATAAAGAGATAAATTATTTAATTTATTTATTGTTCCCAAAAATATTGTTATAATTAACTTATTGCACGAATTTTCGGAATAGAATAAATTGATTCTTTATGTAAATATTAATAACACTTACTCCATAATATTGCTAGTGAAATTACGTTTACTTATTGTGAAAATCACAATAGCAGTTGCTATTTTAGTCAACTATGACAAATAACAACAAAACTTAACAATAACAATCGAAACTAACGAAAAACTAACAAGAATAATGTGTGATCTTAACACAAACTAACTTAATAAGTGAGCTCGTCAACCAATGTTATTTGTTGTCGGTACTAATTGTTGAACGCAATTGCGTCATCAAAATGGCACATTAGCAATTTGCGGGGGTTATAGTATATTTTAATTATTGATAAAAAGATAACGGATAGGTCCGAAACGTCGTGAAAACAAATATAAACGCGATATACCCGTTTAAAATAGTTTTCTTTAAAGATAATCACTTCAAGTTCATTTCAAATACACAGAAAGCGTTCGTTTTATTTGTGCCTATAATAGGAAGTAACTAGTACGTTTATCGTTGATTCTAAAAAAATATATATTTTGAGTTACGTCAATATTGTATAGAATGACCGGTATGTTCTTTTTCCCTATCTATGTGTCTGGTGTCTTGAACGTTTAGTTAAGACTAGTTGTTAAATGGATTAATTACTATGTATTATTATTAATTTCATCAGAGTGCTTAGATTCGGGATGTGACATTAAGTATTCCGGTTAGGTGCGGGCGGTAGCGGGCGCTTCAGAGCCCGGCCATGACAAGATTAAGCGGTGCCGTTTATCGCACCGCACGTTGCTCTCCCCCCCCCCCCCCTCACCCGCGCGACTAATCATCCCCACCCTTCCCCCACCCTCGAGTATTAAGATAAATCATTGGTGCTTCACTCTTAATAGATTTATTAGCCCTATCAGAATTGTCATCACACTGTCAGTTACTAGTTGATAACTTAAATGTATTTAAGTAGGAGTGTAAAACCAAAAGACGTTCTTTGTCTACCTTGCACCCTTAAGATAGGGGTAGACAATGGCGGATTGCGTAGCAAAAACGGATTTTAATTAATTACTGACAAACTTATTATTTATCAATTTTCCCTATAAAAATGATATGAACAGCTAGAAATTGTGAATTCGCGAAGTAACCTTGTTTTAATTCTATTGAGAACATTTTGATGATTTCATGTATTGGTTGTGATGGAACCCATAGAGATATGATGTCGTTTCTCGTATGAATTAAAGGTTTTCTGAACGTTATTTCTTTGAAAGTTAGTGATTTTCGGTGTATGCGCGTTATTAACAGCGTTGTATATTCATCAAATATTATCGTTTAACTTTTCCAGTAACCGTATGTATGTTTGGTTGGATTCTTAATGTTTTTACTGAACTATTTAAAGAGACCATTAAAAGATTAATGATGAAATAGTTTTATATGCTTTTGGTGCGTGTAAAAGCAATCAGTTTGAAATGTTGCGGCTCTTTAATGGACGCGAGTACAATTAGATAAAGTAAACGCTATTTATACTGTAATTTGTTTTAATCGATACTCGTTTCGGTTTCCACCAAACGACAGACTAAGTGGGTAGCGGATGCTTGTATTTGCTTCATAGATACGGTGAAGATAGCTGTGGTGTGGTGATTTGTCTCCTGCTCGGCTGCTGGGGGGTTGTTATCAGTGATTAATTATCAGCAGCGCGCATACAGCAGCGGCAGCGGCAGTGAGCGGCCATGCGTCCGTCACTCTTTCTTATCTATCGACGTTACGCCCGCGGCCGACTTTCGACCACAAGATTTATGCCGTCGCTAACGAGTATCGCCTTCGCAATCTGCCAGTAAAGCTCTAAATGGATTGCAACAGCTTTGGATCCGGTACCGGATTAGAAACTCATTTATTTTTAAATCGCAAAAGAGACGAATTTTCCATCCAAAGCAAAGAAAAACCTAGGGGGCGTCAATTGCTTGTCATCCCGCGCTACCGACTAAGGTTTAGTTTCGCTCTATTCTATACTTATGTAGCGACATGTGGGCATTCTGCTGCTTGTGGTGATGAGATAAAACATTTTGGGACTTCTTATGAGTAAAGAAAGTAATACACTTTCTTTTATCTCACGTCTGGACTAGAATATGTTCATAAACGACTCTACTGCTATTTTTTTCGTTAGCTTTAATACTTGCTCGAGTGCAGATTAGAAGGCTGAGTAGGCTCTCTGTTGGAGCAAAAGTGCTGTTGGCATACACATCAAAACCCTCCATTGCATCCTCTCGCATAGTCCGGGCCCCAGTAATTTGAAGTAATTCCCGAGGACACTATATAGCTTCCTTAAAACTGCCCGAATTAAACATTATTACGGAAATAACAAACCTACGGTACTACATTCATTTGGATTACATATATTATAGTGCAGCTCATGTTGGCGGTCACTGGAAGCTATATCTGTGACCGCTAACTCCACAGCTTAACATCAACTGTAATTCTCAGGCGTGCTTAGCAAGTATGTAGTACGATACCCATGTCCAATACTATTAACCTTCTACTACTTTAACAACAAACAGATCAATTTAGTGCAGGTTTAACTAAAGTAGTTTCTATTGCAGAGTTTAAGTCGTGAAGTTTAACGGCGCTGGTTTGAATTCACTCTTGATCGCTGCGAGCTCGCAAACAAACATTTCTTTTGTTATCTATATCTCATTAAATAATGTAGGATGGAACTTATATGTATGCAAAGATATGTGGACAGTTGTGGCTGACGCTAATATGTTTTCAATAATTAAGTACGGACGATACCATTAAGACCGGCACAATCGATTTTGTAACTAGGTTCATTATTCAAACTACACAAAAATATTAGTTGGTTTCTAATACCAACCAGTGCATTTAGGGTAAATTTGAAAATCACCAGATTTCTAGCACATTTCATGAAAATCTTACATGAAAATGATAACTCGATATAATTATTTGCATTACAACAAAGTCGAACTTATCATAGAAATTTTCCTTTAGGTAAAAGACAGTGGTATATTACTCCGCAATTTGCTTAATATATTTTATCATATCTATCCAATATTTATGATAATATCGAACGTTTACTCACACAATTATCATATTGTATTTTCTCTATTCTACTAAATAAAACGAGAAGCGGATCCAATAGATGATACTTACAACACTCTTATGTTAGGCGTGTTCTCGAATGCTCTGGGATCGATATGCATTATACGGTTCCGTCGCAGCATACTGTAACAATTAACTGTTATAAATACACTTAGTACTATTAAAATAACTACAATTCGTGTAATAAATGTTACATTTCGTGTCGTCCTTGAAAATCGACATTTACATGAGAACGTATCAAACGCGATGCGAGCAGGAAACCAATCACAACGTCCGTCGCCTGCCAGTACGAATTAAGCTTTTGTACTTTAGCCTGTCACACCTCAATCAGGCCAGAAGGAAAACTGACACGTTTATAAGATACCCTGTTGGATTCAAGGGCATCACACCATTTGTATTACATAAGGAAAACGTCCAATTTCAGAGAAACAATGAAGAATTTAATCATTACCTACGTTTTATATTACTTTTTTCCTTTCGAGTATACGGAGAAAATTGAACCTAAGGTCGTTTTAATCATTTGATTAATCTGTGAAGGTAAAGAGAAAAAGGACTTGTAAACATCTGGGTCCTTTATCAGATCAATTAAGTTGATGAGGGGATCTGTTACTCGACAGCCCTTTTCACAAAGAGACCATTCGTACTTCAAACATTTAACTTGAGAAATTAAAGATAAAAAAGTCAGATAGCCGAAAAACTTCTCAACTTATTAAAATTAGGAGGCCGTTAAGAATTCTGCTATCATAAATTAGGCGGAGAGGAAAAATATTGTGTGCGAGTTCAAATTAAGAGAAATACTAAAATGTATAAGATCGTGGGCGGTGTGTCGGGGCGGCGTGGGCTATAAATAGAGCAGCGCGTGGTTCCGGTGAGGAGTGGAGCACACCACACCACCACGCGGCACACCTGCCGCTTCATGTGCTATGAATATTATTTCCACTATAAATGTCACTGTTAAAGCCCGTATGTTCTTAAATCTTAAGTTTTACTAGTCAATCTTGGGATTTATCAACATGAATTTGTCAATGGAAGATTTTTGAAAAAAGACGTATTTCGGACTTTTACGATTAAAGTTTGGATAAAGCTAAGTTCGACCAATGACGTTTGATAATTGTTAGTATTGAAAACAAAATAATGAGTATTTCTTAGTCTTATTTTTAGTCTTATTATATAATATTAATTTATCATTATGGTGCTATTTTTTATTGTCATTATTTTACTAGTTACAGAATACTACGTCTCCGTTAAGATTAGCCAAACTTCTTCCTATTACACCAACATAAATATCATACACAATTGGCTGTTACCTGATTTATTTGCAGTTTCAATATAATTGTTTTTTTACTGTACTGTAAAACACGCTGTATTTTTGTGACAATATAGCATTTAATAAGTTAATCGACTTTACCGGAGGAAATTAGATATCATTGAAATTTTAAATAAGCTTTGAACGAGCACCGGTGACTTTGAAACTTGTAATTCGTAACATTGAAAATACAAAAGCAAAGGAAAATCAATATTATTGGCCGCGAAAGGTAAAATGTAACCACATTAATGAATAGATTATAATTCTCAACCTTCATTTTATGGTAAGGATATCAAATCGGTATCGATATCTTTAATCACTTTTAAATACATTGATAATTGAGAACCATTTAAGCTGTATAAATATTAAATATAGTATATTATATAATAATAAAATGGATAGATATTTTTATGTATAGTAAATATAATTACAAAATACTTCATAAGAGTAATTCAGTTTTTTTTTTATATATAGAAAACATACTTTTAAGCAAAACAATGTTTATATATATATATAATAATGAACCTAAGCTTTTTTCATCTCAAAGTTGAATTTTTAATAAATACAAGTATTTAATTAATAATGAAATATCTAAATTTTAGATAGTTCACGATATCGCGTTACGGTAACTACATAGTTTTTTAATAAACATTTCTATAAGTGTTGTTTTCCCCCCTAAATCCTTTACAAAGTGTTAAAGCTACCAATAACAATATACAGTTATGATTAGCTACGACTTAATCCTGACGTAATATCGCTAAGTTATTGCGTCGTCAAACAAATGGATTGACCATCGAGCGCCCTCCTCTGATCGTAAACGTATAGCGTTTAAATAGGAGGCTCGTGATGGTCAGGGGGCTTGATCCGTTAAGGGATCCGTACCGTGAGGGGGTCCGACCGCCATAAACGAGTTCACCGGCGCCGCGTTACTTCCGAACAGCAGTTATGGGATCATGTTATGGGCCCGCAAGAGGAGCACATTAATTTTGCTTCCGAACTCGATATCGAGTTATTCGTACGCCACTAATGCTACGGGAAACTTTTCTTTGGCTAGTAGTAAACAATGAACAGACTGCAGTAGTTCATCAATTAATTTCACTTGATACACTGTGTCAGTTTAATGTGTTTACAGGGCTGACTTTGCAATAACTTTATGTGCTCGTGCACTAAATGAATAACATTTCTGCTTTAATTATATTGATAACAACTTGGTTTCAACTCTGTCCGCCAGAGGTGTAGTGTAAAGACTTGTTCCATTATTATCGACTCGGTTGGTAGGAGAGGGCGACGCTCTTCTTTAACACCACATTACAATAACAGGCGTCTAAATAGCGACGATTCGATAGTTGGAAACTGTGTACATTGCTTACTTGTTAGGAATTTGAGCAGTGAATTTACAGTGTCGACGAGGCATAGACAGACTGCAAACGTAATAGGTTACTAAATGTTAGAGTATACAGACATTTTCATTTCGTGGGGGTAACGAGTGGAGATTTTGCTCTTGCGGATCATAATATATAATACCGTTGTATTATTACATAATTTAAAATATTTTGCATTTAAAAATATTACTTATAAAAACTAACGAATAAAAAGTCACTTAGTTAATATATTCATCAAACATTATTTAAAATGATGAGTGGAGTAACGGGCTTTCAGAATCTGCATATAATAACCCTTCATAAGCCGGGTGAAAGTAATCATTCTAGAGACCAGATATGAGCAGTCACGATGAAATGTAACCGTCTGAAACAATTTCGCGTTCCGATTATGCGTGATCGTCACACGAGCAGCAGTTATGTCAGCAGGCGGCGTATCCCCCGGGCACAGGCGCCACCAGACTACAGCCCGGCACATACATTATGTATTCGGCTGGAGGATCTCACTTCATATCAATGAACACACAAGATTTATGAAACTTACTGCCAGATGACTATTAAATTACGGTAAAAAGAGATATCGAAAAAGTCGAGCACCAAAAGACATAATACAGATGGAACTGGAAGAGATATCTACATTTCATCATACAAAAGCTATTAATGAAAGCAATAAAAGCTGCGGTACGTAATCGCTAACTGATGACGTAAAGTAAAAGCCATATTCACTACCATACTTCACAGGACGGTAATAAAGTTGCTGAATTGCCGCTAAAACTGTCACAATGTTTATCGGTGGTCCCCTGATGGACGACGGTAATAAATTTGTATATTTCTTTCCTAGCTAGTTAGTGTTGTGTGTGTCACTGAGATGTAGCGTTGGCGCGGGCGGGCGGCGGCAGGTCGTTGATCTCGTGCTGTCCACGATCGTCCCTCGTCTTCGTAATCTATATCGAATTTAACAATCTGACGACAATGTCCATGATATCCAATGTTGTAGTAATAGTGTTGAATTCTTTATTCCAATAATCTACACTGTTATAACGAAAACCCGATATTTATTCAATGATGTATGAACAAAACAATTACATACCCGCTAAGATTTGGTATAAAAATAAACATTTAAAATTTCTTTAATACAGTACTTTACCTACTAGAACTACGATTTGATATTATGTGTTACTTAAGAATCGAATAAAAAAATATTTTTATTAAAAGCTTAACGAAAGTTTTCAAATATTTTGTTTCAAGTATTTTTTATTATGGTACGACACCGAGCCTGTCAAATATTATGAGATTAAGATCCAAAAAGAAGTGTACAATGAGGCAAATTTGCACACCGAGGATTATCATATTACTGAATTTATAAAACTTTATAACATTGATCAGTGCTCAAACTGTCTTGTTGGAAAACGGTTGACCCCTGCATCGATACAAGTCGCAGTCATTTTTCTAATCACAAATGGTTTAATATTCATTTTTCTTGTGATTTATATTTAAATTTTATCCAAGACTTTTATTGTAAATTGTTTTTCTTGCCAAATTTCGTGATTATAGGTCATCAGTAAGACGTATTCGCAAGAAAAATTTATCCTACCTGAGTAGGTTTTAATTCATGTGCGAATATTAAACGCGCAATATAAATTACTGTATCTTTTGAATGCGTTGTTTTAGAAGTTTGATTTTGTCACAGCTCTAAGACGTGAGTATTTGATATTAATTTCAACTTGATCCCACCACGCATTCCTGAGTAAAGTGTTATGACAGACGGACGGATAACGAAGCAAAGTGTTCAGAAAGTCATAAGGATTCTTTCTATTCTTTGAACCAAACTACGCTGAACTACTGTGAAGAGATAAACTTAGAAACATTTACTGGGTTTTAGACAAATTACAAACACAATTTATACAATAACTCCTAAACAAAGAACAAAGAGTCTAGAACTTGAACCATAGATATATTCGAGCGGCAGTCAGTTATGCAAATAAAACCCACTTATTTATGAAATACTCGGTCAAAGGGTAGGTACGAGTAACATAGCCACATCAAAAATTTTAAGATGAAGTACTGCCGATTTTTTAATACGTGTGTCGATAAAACGTAACGATTATTCATGTCACGAACGATACACACGTTTGCACGTTAATTCTGGAGGTTTTATGAGGTGTTACTCGACGAACTGTGGACACTTTATTGCCTAAATGATTGCACTTAAACCGTTTCAAACTATTATAATATAGAGAATATGCGAGATTAACTATTTCAAAACATTAAATAATAAAATTTTTGGGGTTCCATAGCCAACAAGGTACCTTTATAGACTCGGTTGTGTAAAACTCTGTTTATTCGGGTCTTAGCCTAGACTATTAACACTATAGTCTACCTATTAGATAAAACAAAAGTTTCATTTCTCTTTATTTGAACACTGACAGTCTTTATA